TGTTTGCCAGGAGAGACTCCAGCTCCCCCACAATCCTGTACTGGTTAAAGGGGCTAGAGAAGACGCAGATGGGTACTGTTACTGCTGGAGCAGTGAGCCCCGAGCCCCGACCTACCGCCGGAGACGCACCTGCGCCAGCCTGCTCCTCCACCTGTGGCACACGGCGCCCACGGCCAGCAGCACCGCTCCCAGGCCCCTGCCCAGGCCCAGCCGCCTCACCGGGCACTCGCTGGTCCTCGGCTCCGCCGGGCTGCGGCAGAGACAGACACACCGGTTAGCGGACAGGACACGGCCGCAGCGAGGCCCGCCCGCCCAGCTCCTCGCCCCTCTCCACCCTACCGTGGGCCGGACGGGGCGGCGGGCGGCGGCGGCGGCGGCTCCTGCTGTTTGGGGTGCTTCAGCGCCCAGGACTGCCTGCAGAACCTCCTCTTCCTGCGCCTCTGCGCCGAGCGGGTCAGAGTCTGCGGGAGGCAGAGCAGAGGAAAACAAACGGTCGCACCCGCACTCCCAGCCGGGGTCCCGGACAGCAGGCCTGGGGCCCAGCGTGGCCCCGTTGTCGCGGTGCCGGATTTTCGCCCCTTTTAGCTTTTCACATCGGAACCGCAGCTGCTCTGGTTTTCTCATCTCCGCTCATCTTGTGAAATAAACGTATTCATACCGCCGACTCGATATCGCCAGACTGCTCTTCTTGAAGCATGCAGCCAAAGCACACATCTATGTGAAAGCCACGCTTTTAAAACACCGTTACCCATATTTAAACAGCTGCAGTACTCAGGGAAAAACACATCCTTACCCTCGCCATGATAGTCCCGAAGGCAGGAAGTGAAAGCGGGTAAATTTCAAAGTTAAAGCACGGGCGTCTCCAACCAATCGGGTAACAGCTGCCCTGGCGGCACTGGAAATTCCCGTCTGCGATTGGCTACGGCTACGGCGCGCACTAGCGCACGCAGCCAATCACAGCCCGAGAATCCCCTTGAAACTCCGCTCGGGGCAGGGCGAGCCCAAACCTGAGGGGCGGGCAGGGGGAAGGAGCCAATCGCAGAGCGAGCTGAGTCGGCCAGTCCACGCCGACATTCTTCATCCCTCAGCCAATCACCGAGGAACAATCGCTCAGCCAATTGGTGGACGCTTTTCTTCATGTACAGCTTTGATCTTTATCAGCCAATCAGCGGCAGTCTAGTGCACCTGGGCGAGTCTGATCGACCAATCACAAGCTCACGCTTTGTAAACGGCGCCCAATCGCAGCCGGGGGATGTCGCTGGCCAATCCCGGTGTAGAGAGCTATTGGATGACCGCCCCTCTCTGATCGTCCATTCCGTAACCAGCGTCTCCCTCCACCGGCCAATCCAGGACTAGTATTTCTGACAGGTGACCAATCGGCTTCGCGGTTACATGAAGCCCAGGCTTTGTATTTACGGGGCTGCCTGAGGAATGTAAACTATTCAACATGGAGACACCAGTCAATAAGCTGGAGGCGATGGTAAGCTGCCGTTTTATCTAAAGAATTGATAGGAAAAAATGGGACAAACGAGGGCTGGCAGGTACGCGCAGTGCGTTGGGACCCTCCCCCGTCTGTGGCAAATACTCGCCGCCCTCAGACGGCGGACAGGAAAGAGGCGAAAATAGCGAACGAAAAAGGGGGGAGGGGGGGGTAAAATCACTCCCGTTTCTGTGTTGAGCGATGGCGGGGGAGGAAGGGCCGAGGCGCCGGGAGAGTGTCCGCAGGGAGACGGGCGGGCAGGCGGGCGAGTAGCGGGGCAGGAGCTGCGCGCGGGAGACGAGGCCGTCTCCGCGAGGCCGCGCGCGCGCGCTCCCGGCGAGTGACCGTTAACGTTCGGGGGGGAAAAAAAAAATAGTTTCAAACTGGGTCTCGCGCTCCCCGTTGGTGTCCATACGGGTACCTGGAGCCGGGGGGGGGTGGGCGGGGCGGAGCCGGAGCGCTCTGATTGGCGCAGAGCGAGGAGGGGGAGAGCCGCGCTCGCCCCTGATGGCGCCCAGCGGCCAGTCCTGGATATTACGAGCCCGACGGCGGCCTCGCCTCAGCGAGCCCTGATCCCGGGCCGTCCTGGGACGGGTGAGCTCTGAGGCAGACGCGGGTTTGCTGTAAGTGGGGC